GCACAGCTGAGGTGCTTGCTGAAGGCAAAGGCACCCAGAAGGGGGGCAGGAAGCAGGAAGCAGCAATACGAGCCAAGACTTCTGAGCAGTTAAGGAAAGAGGGCCGTAGTTGTCCTGCGCACTTTCCCCTTGTTTTGCTACAGGTACATGTATACGTGGGTCTGTGCATGTATATCCGTGTGTAAGTGTGTGTGTGCGTGTGTTTATGTCTTTCTTTCATGTCTTATCCCTTCTTATGTGAGAAAAGGCGAACACAGCAGTAATTCACCACAGTTTCCTTCCCGCCTTCATGCTTCTGCTGGGACACGTCCCTCCTCCTGCCCTCAGGCTGGGCTTTCCGGCAACGGCTCCCCTAGTTCTCAGCATCAGAATCACACTGGAAAGACACCCCCACTGTCCTGGGTCTCCAGCTTGTGACAGTAACTTGTGGGACTGCTCAGCCTCCATGGCCAGGTATGTCGAAAACATACGAATGTTCTATTGTTTTGGTTTCTCCACACATTGGTTCTGTTCCCTTGGAAAAACTAAATTGTACACACAGAGGTTATTATCTCATTTATTGTAAAGTACTTGAAAACACAGGTACAGTATAAAGACAAATTATATCGTTTAAAATAATAAAATACCATCAGCTATAAAAATGCAAACTATCATAAGCCCAGAAAAGGTTTTCTTAATGAGAAGAGACAATGACCGCCCCATGCACCTGCTCATTGGGCTGACCCTGAACACAGCAGGTGGATTCTGAGCAGCATCTGGTGGATCAGGCGCGCCCCCTGGTGGGTCGTGTGCTCCCCCTGCACCCACCCTGTGTCCCTGCAGGGAGGTTTGCATCTGGGCTCACACCGGCTTCCCCTCACTCTGTCTCTCACACACTAATACACAGCCGTGTCCTCAGGTTTCAGGCTGTTCATTTGCAGATACAGCGTGTTCTTGGTGTTGTCTCTGGAGATGGTGAATTGGCCCTTCATGGAGTCTGCGTAGCTTGTGCTACCACCACCACTATTAATAGCTGAGACCCACTCCAGCCCCTTCCCTGGAGAATGGCGGACCCAGCTCATGTAGTAGCTACTGAAGGTGAATCCAGAGGCTGCACAGAAGAGTCTCAGAGACCCCCCAGGCTGCACCAAGCCTCCCCCAGACTCCACCAGCTGCACCTGAGCCTGGACACCTGCAAACACAAAGACATCCTGGTCAGGAGACTGTCACATGTCCTGATTCCCCCACTCACAACCACCCACATCCTCAGTAGCTCTTGTTCTCCATGAATTACCTTGTAAAAGAGCAGCCAGGACCACCCAGCTCAGCCCCAGCTCCATGGCGAGTCGTCTGTGCTCAGTCCTGATCAGAGAACGGGAGCAGCTGGGAATCCCGGGCTGGGCCTCCTCTCCCAGAGCTGCAGGGCCAGGGCCGGGTGGCTTTATCCTCAGAGGGAGGCCCTGTTTGCATGTCATCTCACTACATAGCAAGTCAGGGCCTTGCTGGCCTCAGAGGGGGCCAGGCCCCTGAGCAGCTGTGAGTGTCTGTGCTTTGCTGGTGTTGGTAGCATTTGGAAATATCATCTTTATTGTGTGAATTTTCAGGGTAAACACTTAGAACCTGTATATTTCACGTGTGCACACGGTTTCTGTGATGTCGGTGCCAGAGTTCGTCCCACGTTGGTGATGTACGCAGCCCCCAGACGGGTACCGCATTGTGGTCTGTGCAGGGACACATGTTAGGTGAGAGTTTGTCCAGCATTTTCACCTGTGCTCCTCGTCTTGGTCATAACTGATCCAGAATCAA